CTCCATGTAAAAAAGCCCGGTCTATAGGTAGGGTTAAATCAATCAGACCTTTATTCCACATTTCTGCCACACTTGGTTACGTACAGGTCACAACAAAACAGGATGAATGGACATGGTTAATAGATACAAAATCAACTAACTATCGTTATATAAATTCAACTTCTCCTCGCTTTACAGTTATTGTAGAAATAAACGTACAGATCTGTTTTTCGAAGAGTGGTTTGTCTAGTCGCATAAGGAATATGAATTTTTCTACAGTACTTAAGTGCATGAATAGGGGAATAGGTGCTGTACAAACATATACAGTTCATTTCTCTCTTTGCTCAAATTCTGTTACGAAATGGCGTTCGTCTTCTATTTAATAATAAGAATGTTTCCAACAGCTCACAAGACGTCCCAAGCAAAGAAGGATTCAAAGTTCCACCCAAGGACGAAGGCGACCCATCGAAAGGCAAGGCGGGCACGGTCTCTCTGTTTACGGCGTTGTTCCGCTGCTTCTGGCCGCTCGTTACCGTCACTGCTCTATTCCAGACGGTCACCATCATTCTGGGCCTCGCCGCTCCTCAGATTCTCAAGTAAGTGTAGCACCTTTTCTTGCGGACAGAATTGTTTTCTTGCTACAAGAACAGTTATTATTAGCTCTGAGTTTAAGAAATCTTTTCTTGTGTACAGAATGGCTTTCTTGCTATAAGAACAGTTATTATTAGCTCTGAGTTTAAGAAATCTTTTCTTGTGTACAGAATGGCTTTCTTGCTACAAGAACAGTTATTAGCTCTGAGTTGAAGAAATCTTTTCTTGTGGGCAGAATGGTTTTCTTGCTACAAGAACAGTTATTAGCTCTGAGTTTAAGAAATCTTTTCTTGTGTACAGAATGGCTTTCTTGCTATAAGAACAGTTATTATTAGCTCTGAGTTTAAGAAATCTTGTATTGTGTACAGAATGGTTTTCTTGCTACAAGAACAGTTATTAGTTCTGAGTTCAAGAAAACTTTTCTTGTGTACAGAGTGGTTTTCTTGCTACAAGAACAGTTAACTTATTAGCTCTGAGTTGAAGAAATCTTTTCTTGTGGGCAGAATGGTTTTCTTTCTACAAAACAGCTCTTACTTTTTTTTATTTTCTTATGCTAAAGAAGCTAGACATTATTTGTGTACGAACCTAAACTTCATATTATAAGAATAATATTCGTGGTATTGGTTCATTAGCTGTAAGAAAAAAAAATTCTTGGAATAAGAACAATGTGGGTTTCTTAAATTTTCTTGCCACAGGGGTTCTTGTTCAAAGAATAATATTCTTGCTGACAGAAAAAAATTCTTTGCACGAGAGAAAAACAGGAAAAACAAGAGAAAGCATTTTTAGAATTGATTTGATTTTGTAAAATCTCATTTGCATAATAATGAGAAATTGCTATAATTTAATATTGCTAACTACCAGGAATTTAATACTTGCCACATTTGGTAGTTTAGTGAAGGGGAATATCACTAAAAATAATTCATTTAAACCAGGACCTCATTTGCATTATGAAAAAAAAAGACCGACATTCCTCCCATTGATTACGTTTTTGTAATGAAGACAGTTATGCTAATTCTACGAAAATGACAGCGTGTTTCTATATTATTTTTCTAGGCTTTTTAAAAATAATTTTATTCAAGAAATATGAAATAATTCAAGTATTAAGAAACATGGAAGAAACACCCAAACAAAATGTAAGAACCAAGAATAACTAACATCAGTGTCAACTGAAAAAGTCTTAACAAACCACAAAAGCACTGATTTTTGGTTCAGATAAATGTACATGTATATATATCGTTGAATGATATCAAAATTTAAATTATAAATGGTGATATATGTAGTATGAGGCAAAACAAGTTATGTATAAGAAGGCAAAAATAAATAATTAATCTGAACATAAAGTTCCCCACTTACCCTGATACTTCTCTAGCTTCCCTCTCTGAGATGCAATAAGATACTCTGTCTTTTGGTAAAAAGATACTAATTTTTCTAGGCTTTTGATGGGCTTCACAAAAGACAAGGAGGAACACCAGTGGAAAGGCTATCTGTACACCGCTCTGTTAGCAGCTCTGTCAGTTGTCTATTGCCTGGCTGATACCCAGTTCCACAAGCGGTGTAAGACCCTAAACCTGCGACTCAAGACCGTTCTCACATCTGCAGTTTACAAAAAGGTGAACATAAAAACTTATGGATTTTTATGTAGATACCTATGGGGTCATGGATTGATGTTGCGCAACAGCGTTGTACAAGTGAGTTTCTATCACGTGTTGAACACGTGCGGGGCAGGACCTGTCTTAGCCAATCACAGTGTAAGCTTGATCCGCCCTAACCAATCGCAGTGCAGATCTACATGTGCTACTAAATTTGCCGCGTCTTTCAGAATTTCTCGGCCCACTCGAAAGAACCACGGTACCTTTCAATTCAGAGTCGGTTGGTTTTGTGTAGACCCATTTTTCTGATATGAATGACCACGGAGGTATGCATAAAAACCTTTTCGTACTACCCGAAATGTTTTGTTTCCTTTTGTTAGTCTTTGACAGTGACTAGTGAAGCTCGGAAGACGTTCACAGTCGGCTCCATCACGAACCTGATGTCCGTGGATGTCCAGAGGGTGGCGGACACCTGCTATGACCTTCAGTTCGCCTGGTCCGTGCCGTTCAGGATGGCGGGCTCGCTGTACTGTCTGTGGAACGTCCTGGGGATGACTGCTGCTCTGTCCGGGGCCACCGCCTGTGTGCTTCTCTTCCCCTTTTACAGCTGGATGGTCTCAAAGATGAAAGAACTAGAGGTACGGACGCTATTGTTTCTTAAAATAAAATCAGAATTATTATGAATCGAGTTTAAACTGTAATGTCCCACACTAGTAAAAATATATCATATGTACAATTTGTATGTCGTTCTGACGTAATATGACGTCATTATGACGTCATATTATGATATGGTCCGCCATCTTGGATTTTGGCCAATGACGTCATCAAATTAGCATAAATTATGCATTTTTAATTATAAAATTTACATATAATTATATGTGATGTTATTAATATTAAAAACTGTGTAACTTGACATAAAACCCATAAAATTCTGTTGTTAAAATGGAAATTATTAAATTTGGCAAAAAATGTCAGAAATCCGTTGCCATGGCAACAAGAAAAATCATAATCTTATTCCACTGATACAGATTTGTTGCCAACAATATTTTAGGAAAAGTCACCAAGTTTGGCGGTTCTAGCTCTAGCCGTTCAGACGCTATGTGACATCAAAGTTGCCGCGGGCACTTTTAGCCCCCCCCGGTCTAGATAGGGTTAAAACTAGGTATGAAATACTGATTAAAATGTGCTAATGTGACAATATCATAAAGATTGCCTTATTCAATTCAGAATATTTCTAGTTTTGCTGATCTGAAATCGCACTGGATGAATTACCTTTGATTTGCTATGTCATCTACGCAGAGAACACTCATGGAGCACAAGGACTCCCGGATCAAGCTGATGAACGAGGTTCTGAACGGCATCAAGGTGCTGAAGCTGTACGCCTGGGAACTGTCCTTCAAGGCCAAGATTGACGACATCAGGGCGAAGGAACTGAAGGCGATACAACGTTTAGGCTACACGCACGCCGGACTCGCCTTCACATGGAACGTCACAACTCCCCTGGTATGTAAATGTGGCTATTATTTAAGGGTTTATGACCCGCCCGAGGTGAATATGGTGTGATAAAGCCTTGTCAGTTGCTATAACCACAGAATAAAGCCATCGAGTGAGCACAGCGAATGAGGTGGCTTTATGAGGTGGTTATAGCAACTGACAAGGCTTTATCACACCATATTCACCGAGAAATGACAACGCTATTATCATATAGCTTACACGATAGCCTAATCCAGACTGATGAAGTGAAAAGTGACACAATGTACAATTTACCCCTTGCACATGCTAAATAGAACATAGAACATTGTTCCATCTGGAGTCACCTGAGGACACGGTAGGGTTCACGTTCTAACTGGGTCACGGGCAGGGAACAGGTGTTCTTATGGGAGTCACCCGAGGTAATTGGAACACAACTCAAGTTATTTTTTCATTTTTCAGAACTAGAGCTGTGTTCTATTGAGTCACCTGAGGTCATATGCGGGTGATTATTGGGTTGTTTAATGTATGGATTGTTTGGGATGAATAAATACCCGGTTTTGACTCTATTTGTGACATTACGGCGTCATAAGGAATGTGGAATGGAGCCTTCTGATTGGTCAACGTCACCCGGCTATATGATAAAGTGAAACAACCGAACACTACTTTCTACATTGTAAACTTTATTCTAGTAAAAGAAGTACTCTGTTATCATCTCTCTCCAACATAGTAGAGCTACAGCATCTCAATGACAGTTCCCTATGTTCCTTACTACTTCGAGGGTCCACATCACTCTCACACCTACAAAACTGTAATGTGCTTGATGTGGTTCAAAACTTCATTTACTGTACGGGTAGATTCTCGTAATTGATAGATCACCATCTTGTCTTTGTTGTATTTATCTTGTAACTATGCATGTATCTTGTAAATGTGTTTTGAGTAGAAGGTGTTATATTTTATTAAGCATATTTTGCTTTTTGCCCAATACTCAATAAATATATTATGTGAAAAAAAAAAGGCTCACCTGGTAAGGACGTAGATTCCTCATCACTCAGTTCACCAAAATTGACCTTCCTCTTCCCAACCTCATCCTACCTACCAAATATCATTCAGATACATTCATTACACCCCAAGTTATAACCGATAACAAAAAAAAGCAACCCCTGTGTATGATGTAATGAGAGTATTGAAGATGAATTTCACTTTGTTATGACTTGTCCCACCTATAGAAAAGAAAGAGATACATTGTTACAGACTATTACCACTAAGACAAAGTTCACCCTATCTAGTACACAGTACGATACATTCCATGAATTATTGTCATGTCCAACTACCATATCTGCTTACACAGGCCAATTTCTGTACACTTTATTTCAGAGAGACCATATCATCAATACATGACCATATTGTAACTCATATACTGTAGAGATAGTAGTTTATAGTAAGGAATGTAATAAGATAGTTATGTTTACCGAAGGAAAACCTATTGTTTTTGCTCTGTTTCTTCCTCTTCTTCTTCTCCAAACAGTGACCTCTGATCTGACCAATGACATGATTTGTTGACGTTAGTCACCATGGTGACTGGTGTTGGGTTATATAATGTTGCAATTTCATGGTCTTCTCTGCTCCTGTCACCATTTGCCAGTAGTACATGTTTGTGAATGTGTTTGAGTAAGAATTAACAGAGCAGACCATATCGGAAGGTAAACATTATGCATTTGCTTTGCAAATGTTACCTTTCTAGTTTAGCTTTGTAGTATTGTTGTCGAGCAATAAAATTCATTCGTTTCTTTCCTGTCAGGTTTCGTTTGCGATCTTTGCTGCGTACGTTCTGAGCGACGAGAAAAACGTCCTGGACGCGGAGATTGCGTTTGTGGTCCACTCCCTCATGGAAGGTCTGCAGTTCGCATTCGCCGTCCTTCCACACTTGTACAACAACATTCTACAGGCAAGTAGTACTCTGTAGTAGTTTCATTTAGTGTTTCTCTCTTATTTTAACTCATACCAATTATTATCATTATCATTATTGCACTGTATTTATAACTTATATTACCTTATTTCATTGCCATTAACTTATACCGTACATTGTTTGATTATCCTATTATTGTATTATTTCCATTTTCTAATGTATTTTTTCCATTTCTTGATTATATTTAATTTTGTATAGTTTAGAGGAGGGCCTAGTATAAGCATTCCATGCTTCTCCCCTCCTCCTGCACCTGTTTTTATCCTTGTTTTGTATTATTATTGTCTATTTATTAATGTGCAAACTTAATAAATTAAAAAAAAATCAAATAAAGTACACAATCATTTTTGGACGTAAATTCCCTATCTGATAATTCTTTAGAACATCTTTTACTTTACGGATCATCCTTTAGTAGTTTTGAGACTAGTTGTAAAATTATGAGCTTTACTCAGAATTTCATCATCAAAAATGGTCGTTTTGTATCTGATTGATCTTTTCGACTTTAATTATTCTACTCATGTCAGTAATTCTAAGAGATAGGGGTTGGGACTTCTTTTTTTTATTTACTTCAGAATTCACCTCTTACTACTTGCGCTAGCCTGTTGAATTTCACTAAACCCCAATTAGCTTGTTTCGATTTTGTATATTTGTTTATTTATCTATGTAAGTAGTATATCTCTGTTTAATCATTTTGCGTAGATGGCGCCGTTAATATATTAGGTTCCATGGAACTTGAGTTCGATGCCATCTTGTATGTTTTTATGCTTTTGTTGTTTTAATAAAAAAAAGCGCACAAACAATCATTTTGTTAGAATGGGGACAGGAGGCGGTACCGACTTCCGACGACATTTGACCTTGTACTGACGTAGCATTTGCGGAAAAATTATGTATCTACGGCACTTGTGTCAAATAGATGCACTTTGTAACTAGGCTATCTTCACTTATAACTTTATCATTTGCCGTACATTGTACTCGTGACAATCGTTGTGCAATAAACTTTGAATTTGACTTATAACGATTGGTAAAGTACCAATCAATCATCGTATTTGAACTGTTGTTATTTAAATAAATGAATAAAAAATATATAGTTTCATTGTTTCACAAGTACAATTGTGGCCAACTTTATATGCAACCTATAAAGGAAAGCATGAAAGTAACAGAAGATTAATATAGATATAATTTTGATGATTTTTATTATCTTTTCGCAGGCGAAAGTCTCTCTGAGCCGTATAGAAGATTTTCTTGGACAGGATGAATTGAATCCTGATAATGTGCAAAGAGCCGAGCCAGGTAAAGGCGATTTACATTGTACAAGTAGACTGGGCTTGTGCCTTGTTGCCTTAGGCCACAGCAAGTAATTTTTATGGATGACATAAGCGCGCGCATTAATTTTCGCCTGATTTTGGTAAAAAAACAACAAGAAAGTTTGTTGCCTTCTGACAGTGGTCAACATGCCGAAAATGGGCAAAGATGTCTGTTGCCATGCTGGAAGGTGGGTGTCAGATAACTATGGAGAGAGGAGACAAGAAAAGGCTCTGATTTAATGTTTTGTTTCTTACTTTGATGCAGTGATATGTGATGCTGCTGTATATATGTGATGTTCCCACTGAATCAAAACCATCTGTACAATGATTGAGTTAAAATTTTAAATTGTAGGAACCTTGTTTTTTTTCGTCCGCTCGCATTAAATTTGGAATCTGCGGAGGATGTCATCCATAAAATTTACGTGCTGTGGCCTTATGAGAAATTCCCATGTTTAGTTGGACCCGTGTGCCGTTATGGTTTTCAACAGTAAAGACGCCACGTCAAAACACATTATCATGCTGAATAATGAAACGCTATTTTACATATCTAACTTTAAATTTGATGCCAGCCTCGTATTAATAGATGCACGGTCTATTTTCCAGGTCCTCCAATATCGGTACAAGATGGAACGTTCAGCTGGGGTAGCAAAGAAGAACCCATCCTGAAAGAGTAAGTGGAACTCTATATGTTACTGTAAAGAAGAACCCATACTAAAAGATTACGTTCTATGTTTACTACTACTATAGGGCCCTTAACGTTATGCTCAAAATCAACATATGCATATTTGCCGCCAAGGGCCTTATTTTTTTTTAAGTCATGCTCTCCTTTTAAGAATTAGGGAAGAAATGTAACCTTTATTCAGTTTACTGACATATTTACTATAGTATAGATCTATACTATAATAGTATAGAAATGCATTTCTATCAAACAGAAACAATGTAATACGAACGTAAATAGATATTGGGACACTTTGATCTCACAGGGTGAATATGATTTATTAATAAATGGAAGATATGTAGATGTTATTCTGAGCAAAAGGTTTATTAGACTAGTGATCAGAGCATATTAATATTCATTCTGTCAAATTTCAGAACAGTTGTGATTTTTAGCCCTAATAATAATTTTTTTTTAAAAATCTATAGGGCCATATAATTATAATTATACATATTGTACGGCAAATGATAAATGATATAGAAATAACGAAGATACGATTAATCATAATCATGCCTTCAATTATCAGAGTTATCAAGCAAGGATTGATGTTTTTTTTTAAATCTATTGTACAGTGGTACTGTCTTTAACCAAGTACAGGAGAACCATCATAAATAGACAGGTTTTATGTGTTACCTTTAACAACGTCTAAACTTGGCTATTTTTGGTTTCCTGTAGTATCAACCTGAGCATCCCCGAAGGTGCGCTGGTGGCTGTGATTGGTCAGATCGGTTCGGGAAAGTCCTCCCTTCTGTCAGCTCTGCTGGGAGAGATGGAGAAGACAAATGGACGCGTTTCTGTCAAGGTATTGTAATAAAAAGACTACTCGTCCTTTTAAAGGGGCATTGTTTAACATTTTTACAGCCTACAGGAGGTGCGTGCTGTGTTTCCAACTTTAAAGCACAATATTAAGGCGTCATCTCCATTTCCTGAATGACACATATCTTCATCAATGCAGTCAGGTTGATTTAACTAACGTTTTTAATATCCGCCACCCAAAGCAACACTTCCGAACGTATGCCCTGAAGAAAGGAAAAGAAATAAAGAAGGAAGGAAGTTAGAGAAAGAATGAAAGGGAGAAAGAATAAAAGACGGAAAGAAAGAAAAAGAAAGAAAGAAATGAAGAAAAGGAGTCTATTACAGTGGTACTAGTAGTTAACAAAAAGATTAATCCTCTTCATCAGTATAAAATAATATTATCTCAATGCATGTTTTTTTTAATCAGGGAAGCACTGCTTACGTATCGCAACAACCGTGGATCCAAAACGCCACCTTGCGGGACAACATCCTGTTTGACAGCCCCATGAACAGGTGCCGGTATGACGAGGTCCTGGACTCCTGTGCGCTGGGACCGGATCTGGAGATGCTGTCGGGAGGAGACCTGACAGAGATTGGGGAGAAGGTAAGGAGAACTGTCAGTACCATCCTGTGTTGCGCTGTTTACGTTACTTTAGTAGTTTTCGACTGACTGACAGAGGGCGAGAGAGGGGGGGGGGGAGAGGGAGAGGGGGAGAGAGGGAGGGACAGAAAGATCGGGGGAGAGGGGAGAGAGGGAGATAGAGAGAGGGGGGTGAGAGAGGGACGAGAAACTTAAACGTTAAAACGCCAGCAAGAAAGTATTTTCATGTGATGCCAGTGGTGCTGGTGTACGTAATTACCTGCCTGCTTACCTGCCAAGTTTGCTAGTGGTTGTGAGTAGGTCGTAAGTCGTCGTGGTATGCTTGGGGTACAAACATCTAGTAACATTGCTCTAGTAACATTTCTCTTGTGTATATCATTACCTGAATGTCTAACCATCATCTATGCCACGATGTACCGTTAGGGTATTAACCTCAGCGGCGGGCAGAAGCAGCGGGTGAGCCTGGCCCGTGCGGTGTACAGCGGCGCGGATGTGTACTACCTGGATGACCCGCTCAGCGCCGTGGATCCTCACGTAGGACGCCACATCTTCGACCACGTCGTCGGTCCTAACGGCTTGCTGAAAAATAAGGTTAATTGATATTACCAAGACTATTATTATTATTGCTGGTAGAAAGTAAGAGGCATGGCTTTGTACAGGTGTTAATTGAGTTAACCCAATCAAATCCCAACAGCCAATCAGCAAGAAGAATAGAGGAAAGCTGTATGCCTATTGGCTGCTTGCTAAATGCCATTCTGATGACTCAAGACCGAATATGGTAACACACTGCTAAAGTACATTTTCTATTACACAGCTAAAAAGATAAAATGAAAATTGTTATGTTGTAACGTTTCAGACTAGACTGTTGGTGACCCACGGTACCAGCTTCCTGCCGCAGTGTGACCGGGTCATCGTCCTACAGGACGGCAGGATATGGCTCATGGGGGACTTCAAGACCCTAGTGGACCAGAACAGGGAGTTTGCTGAATATATCCGTACCTACACCAACATGGCGGAGGGAGAGTCCTACACCAACATGGCGGAGGGAGAGTCCTACACCAACATGGCGGAGGGAGACTCCTACACCAACATGGCGGAGGGAGAGTCCTACCCCAACATGGCGGAGGGAGAGTCCTACACCAACATGGCGGAGGGAGAGTCCTACACCAACATGGCGGAGGGAGAGTCCTACACCAACATGGCGGAAGGAGAGTCCCAGTCAAATGGTCAGTAGAAGAGTTTTGAGATACTGTATACAGTGTTGCATTCCAACACGTACTTCGCGAAAACATGTTTTAGAATGCAACATAGCAAGTAGAATCCATCTGTCTTTCAAAATGTGGTCTATTTCAAATCATATTTTGGAATAACACGAAGTGGGAGGCGTTGTTATTCCAAAATATGGTTTAAAATAGACCACGTTTTGGTACGAAATAACCAGCATTAGTGCCAATGCTTCCCATCATAACATTGACAGTGAATTTCGTTCTTGCAGAAAGGAACAAGAGGAAAGTAGAGGAGGGCCCGGTCATACCTGTAAACAAGAAGTGGTGCGACTCAAATGGGAATGTTAAAGATTTGACCAGGTAAGAGTTAGCCTCCTGTGCATTTTTTTGTGTGTGTGGTCGTCAGCCGCACCTGGAAGGTATGTACAGTAGGCTAGAGAGCACGATCACTTTTTTTTTATGTCCGTAGATTTTTGTAACCCCTTTAAAAACATATTGCTGGATTGATATGTTATCTTGTCCATATGTAGATTACCGATAATTCTTTAAACTTTCAGGGACCCCGAAGCAATATAATCAAAGACTGGATATTCTACTATTACTTTTTAGCTTTCCTACTAAAAATAAACATGTGAATAAAATCGTTTTTGTGCTTTGACTTTCGTCATTTTTCGTATATTTTTTTCATCCACATTTAACTAGCAGTAGAAGTCAAAACCTTAAGGCCCGAGTAATGGTCAAAATTTGAAACTATTTTCCGTTGTGTTTGCTTGAATTGATATAGATATCAAATTTAAAATTGACCGTCTCTGTTTAAGCATTTTAGAATATGTCAAAACATACTTGGAAAAGCCTAGTAGCTACACACTAGCAGGCAAAAGTGTGTATGATGTTGTATTAAAGCTCTAAGATAAAGATGATATGTTGTTAGGTGCGACCTGGAAGGCAGTGTTTAATGTCAAACTTAAGTGGAGCGGTCACGGCAAAAATAAAACAGCCATCAAAATTTACAGTAATTTTTACTGGCCTGTTTGGGCAGGTCATTTATTGATTGAAAAAATGTGATTTTTATTTTGGCACATTGTTTAGATGGATTGCCAAAATGATGGCTTTTTATTTTCTTATTTTTACCGACATTTTGGAAAAAATAATTTTAGATAAAATTATACCTTTATGAACACATAATACGTGCAGCATAGATTTGAAATAACTATGACGTATGAGGGTTTATCTCAAGAAAGGAGTTTTGGGCCAGAGGATTTCGGGAAAAGCTTAAAAATAAATTGTATCGACGTTTTCTCAGGCAAAACAGTTGGCTAACCAAACGTCTTTCCCTTCCCAGCACCAACGGACTTCGAAGGCGACTACAAGGTGAGAGCAAAGATCTAGGTCAAGACCAAAATGGCGGTCAAGATCAAAGTCAGCAAACACCAGTGGAGGAGCAGAGGAAGGAAAGTAAACTCATGCAGGAGGAGGAAGACGACGATATCGGTGGGCTTGGTGGGGTAAGTCCATGTGTACTAGTAGTAAATGGTTTATTGATAAACAAATAACAAATCGACCTTGCAGCAATAGCTGAATTGCGCCGAAGTTGACAATCATCAAGTACAGTAAATCAATAAAAAGTATATATTATTATACATCTATATACAAAGTTCAAATATTATCAACGTCATTAAAGATACTACAGATATAACGTGGTGGTTGATACTTAGTATCCCTGTGTTCAAAAGTGCTACTGCAATAACGGAAGTATCGTTTTGGGAGGCTCTGGGGTTTTTATGTTTGGCCTGCGCACAGAGTAGGGTATTAACTATTCTGTACCAAGGAAATGCTTCAGTCGTTCTAAAATCTAATATTTTCTAGATATTTTAACCAAAGTTCATGGCAATCCATCCGCGTCTTATGCAGCAAGTTTAAACTGTAATTTCCAACACAACAAATTGGACTCACCCAAATTTTTCAACTGTACAACTCCAGTCTTTGTCAAGGAATGAACAATCCACCGCTTCCGTGACGTCACGCAGATAACACACGTGACTCCGTGAGCAGTAGATCATAGGTTGCAGAAAGTCTGTGGCGCCCTCCGTCTCTGTTGAGGGATGGTTGTAATGCCCTGATGTAGATGGCCTCTTTAATCCCTCGTGCAAAGAAATCCAGTTCTGAGTCCAAGATTCTTGTAGTTGGAAATTACAGTTGTTGGAAATTACAGTTTAAGCTTGCTGCAAAATGACTTATACCAACACAGATGAACTTTCAAGATACCATCCACATCTTCATGAGTTATCTTTAGGCGTATACGATGCTAAATTACGAACAGTCAACCACCACGAACATCCAAACGCTACCAAAAACATATAAAACTGATAAGATCAACGAACCATCTCCTATATTGGTTAAGCCGTTGCTTTTAAGTATTTCAAGGCAACGGATTAAACATTAAAATGTTTTTTTTTTATCTTTTTCTACCGTTTTTAGATAAAGTTGTCAGTGCTTAGAGACTACATCAAATCCTTCGGTGTCGGCTTGTTCACCTGCTTGTGTCTGCTGAACTGTGGCCACCTCATCGCAAACAAGTACTCCGTCATATGGCTGAGTGACTGGACCAACGACAGCGCCACCAACGACACCCTGTCAATCAACCGGAACTATCTTCTACTGGGTGGTTATGCCGCACTTGGCCTGATGCAAGGTAGTGTGAACTCGGTAACACTGTTAGTAAGGCCACAGCAAGTAATTTTTATGGATGACATCAGCGCGCGCATTAATTTTCGCCTGATTTTGGGAAAAAAAACAAGAAATTTTGTTGCCTTCTGACAGTGGTCACCATGCCAAAAATGGGCAAAGATGTCTGTTGCCATGCCGGAAGGTGGATGGCAGATAACTATATGAAGAGAGGAGACAAGAAAAGGCTCTGATCTAATGTTTTGCTTCTTACTTTGATGCAGTGATATGTGATACTGGCTTGTATATGTAATGTTCTTACTGAATCAAAACCATTTGTACAATGATTGAGTCAAAATTTTAAAATGTAGAACCTTGTTTGTTTTTTTTCGGCTCGCCTTGTTTTTTTTCGCCCGCTCGCATTAGATTTGTATTCTGTGGAGGATGTCATCCATAGAATTTACTTGCTGTGGCCTAAACTGTAAAGACATTTATAATTCATTGATAGATATTCTGCTGGTGAATAGTTTCATTTGGTTGGTAAGTCATACAATAAAGAGATACGTTGTGTATCTCTAAGTAGATGCTTGCTTAGTTTGGGTGCCATAAGCGATAGATTTTTGATGGGGAGCAACCCTAATGTCCGCTGACAAGAGCATCTGCCCAAGCCATTTATCCATCACGATAATTAGAGCCAGGTTGCCTAATCGGTGAAAATTTGTTTGTTTGTTTCGCATAACCGGTAAACGGCCTCAAGGCATAAGCTGCGTAAGGCCGGACTGTAAGGTTTGAGCCACTCACACCGGGAAGGTCCCCTACTCTTTCGATAAGTGCGGTGGGTTCTTTAACGTGCGTGGGGTGTGGCTCTCCCCAAACACGGGACCTCCATTTAACGTCTTATCCGTGGGACGTCCCTAACCGAAGCTAGGTACTCATTTCCACCTGTGTGAAGTGTGGAAAGCCGTGTAAAGTGCCTTTTCCAAGGGCACAATATCGTTGACATGATTTTCCTCGATGTTTTGTCTCCAGGAGCCTGTGCGATGTTGAAACATGTGTGTGTATCTGAGGGTCCAGATTTGTCCTTGATGTTTTGTCTCCAGGAGCCTGTGCGATGTTGAAACATGTGTGTGTATCTGAGGGTCCAGATTTGTCCTTGATGTTTTGTCTGCAGGAGCCTGTGCGCTGTTGAAACATGTGTGTGTGTCTGAGGGCGCTGTCCTTGCCGCCAAGCGCGTCCACGACAAGGCCTTACACCACCTCCTCCGTGGACCGCTCCAGTTCTTCGACGTTACCCCGCTGGGTCGGATCATCAACCGGTTTTCTCAGGAGGTGGAGCGCGTGGACAGGGGGATTGGCGGGATGATCATGCACGGCATCTTTTGCGTCCTGTTGTCCTTCAGCACCTTGTTCATAGTCAGCTTCTCCACGCCACTTTTCGTCGTGATGCTACTGCCGATAGCTCATCTCTACTTCTACATGCAGGTACGGTACTTTTTTTTTGAATTTACAATTCGACATGGATAATATAAGACACGGTGGTGAGGTACTCTAGCTGTAGCTAATTTTAACCTCACCACCAGACATACAAGTATACAGCGACAAAAAAATGACAAAAAAAAACAGGGAACAGCAAATGGGTGGAAATGGCAACACGGTGATTATGGTAATGAATAATAATGAATGGTAAGGAAGAACATGTTTTGTAGGCTATGTAGGAGTTATATAATCTAATACAAACAGTTTAGTATCAATAACGTAAGTTTGGGTGATTGTCAAAATGATACAGTTTGTATCTGAGTGTAAATCGGGTGATCCTCTATGTAAAATGTTACATAAGAATTGTAAATCGTCGTGCGGCCATGTACATGTGTATGGCTCATTCTTATTAAAATGTACAAAATTCTGGTAACGGAGGTTACAACATCGCAACAAAAAAGCTACAGTTTTTAGCTTCATCTTTTAGGAGCAAGTGGTAACGAGTACGGTCCAAGCATTCAAAAGCTTGGCGACTTTGGTATACCGGTTTAAGTTTAATACTGACATAAAAAGTAACAAACAACCTTTACGGAGGTTATGTAACAGTCATTACTGTAAACATTTTGTGCACCAAGGCTGGCTACAAATGGCAGCAAACACTCATGTCTTATTTCTTTTGTCATATCGATTCTCGCGTCAGTATATTTATCATAATGACATGTCAATCCTTGTTCTATGTGGGTCCTCTATGTTGGTGGCGGTATAAGAATAAAAAGTTGAACTAGAGAAGTTGAAAGCAAATGCTTAATGTTTACCTTCGGACATTGTCTGCTCTGTCAATTTTTACTTTACAAACACATTCACACACATGTACTACTAGTATATGGTGACAGGAGCAGAGCAGACCAGGAAATTGCAACATTATGTAACCCAACACCAGTCACTATGGTGACATACGTAAACAAATTATGTCATTGTTCAGGTCAGAGGTCACTGTTTGGAGAAGAAGAAGAGGAAGAAACTGAGTAAAAACAATATGTTTAAAAAAATTACTGTGTCTTCACCACGTCTTTTGTTTACACATGCTGGAATTAAAAAAAAAAATATTCTTTTTCTTCTCAGCGATACTTCAACGCAACAATCCAGCAGCTGAGGAGATTCCAGTCCAAGAGCAGCACCCTGATCCACACCCACTTCAGCGAGACGCTGCAGGGGGTCAGCACCATCCGGGCCTTCAACCGCTGCACACAGTTCGTGCAACAAAACCGGGCAAGGGTGGACGAACACCAGACGGCATTTCACTCTAGCGGCAACGCAGAACTGTAAGTGTCAGAGAGAGGGGCGTATGCATATTACACTGCTGTACCTGTACTTGGTGCTAAAAAAACATCCACACTAGCGCTGCTGTCCCTGTCCTTGGTGCTAAAAAACATCCACACTAACACTGCTTTCCCTTTCCTTGGTGCTAAACAGTATCCACACTAACACTGCTTTCCCTGTCCTTGGTGCTAAAACAGTATCCACACTAACACTGCTGTCCCTCTCATTGGTGCTAAACAGCATCCACACTAACACTGCTGTCCCTGTCCTTGGTGCTAAACAACATCCACACTAACACTGCTTTCCCTGTCCTTGGTGCTAAACAGCATCCACACTAACACTGCTGTCCCTGTCCTTGGTGTTAAACAACATCCACACTAACACTGCTGTCCCTGTCCGTTGGTGTTAAACAAAATCCACACTAACATTGCTTTCCCTGTCCTTGGTGCTAAACAGCATACACACTAACACTGCTGTCCCTGTCCTTGGTGCTAAACAACACCCACACTAACACCGCTGCCTCTGTCCTTGGTGCTAAACAACATCGACACTAACACTGCTGTCACTGTCATTGGTGCTAAACAACATCGACACTAACACTGTTGTCACTGTCCTTGGTGCTAAACAACATTCACACTAACGCATTACATGTATTACGCAATCTGGTAGAAACGGCGATTCTATAGTTAGAGATCCCAGAGTACGGAGTCTCTGTAAACAGAAACTCCAATCAGGATGTCTGCCGATAGAATCACCGATTTTACAGAGATGCCGATTCCGTTAATAGTTTCCTCAGGTTGGTAAGACACTGAGTGACATTTATCAAATGTGAAAGATATTCTATGTGATGAGTGTTATTCAACTGAAAATATCAACAATCGGCATTTCTGAGTCAAGAGACTCTTTTTACGCAACCAAGTCTTTTATTCAGCCGACGTTTCGGTGCCCGTCTGTCACCTTCCTCGGGGCAATTCTGACTGGCTCACATTGCATTGCAGCACAGGTGTCGCTGCTATAGGTGCATTCCCAATGTACAATATTTACATATCTACACATATGCGTGATTGGATTACAGGGTAATGTATCTACAATGCGTTCTCAAACGTGCGGAAGTTGAATATATATACACATAATGGTGGACAGTTATTTAACAGTTACAGAAAACTAGGAACAGAATCCATAAAGCGGTTCCAAATTTACAGAAGTGTCATAATTACATGGTAGTCATAAAAATGTTCTAGCACCCCCTCCAACCCATTTTGTTACCAAAAGGTTATTCATCTATTTTCCTTTTGGTAAAAAAAAATGTGCAAGCACCCCATCTAACCCATTTCGTACTCAACCCAAAGCATGAACACTAAAAAGTGCTTTCCTTGCATTTCCGCCCACAGCTGGCTGAAGGTAGGACTGGACATGGCTGGAAGTGCCGCCACCTTGTTCGCTGCCCTGTTCGTAGTACTCGGACGGGAGAGTCTCAGCCCAGGAACTGTGGGATTATCTATATCATCCGTACTTCATGTGAGAATTCTCACCTTTTTTTCCTTCTTTGTCTATAATTTATGCAGCTTTTCGTATCCCTTCGCTATATGATGCTAATTTATTTGTTGCACTTAAAATTAACTTTCCATAAGTTTACAATAGATACGTAGATATGATCATGATTAGCGCTTTTATATTCCGTAAATTACGGATGATTGACTCATGGGCAATCAACTACAACACATGACTTTAGAACTACGCCTTTCTTAGCATGAAAGTTCATCTGTGTTGGTACAAATCATTAAGAAATAAAGACTAAGCTTTAACTTCCAACACTTAGATACAAAATTGGGACTTACCCCAAATTTTTGGTTGACTCCATCAACCTTGTTTACGGAATGGACCTGTCTACTCTTGGAACGTGACGTCAGAGACACGTGACCGTAGTAGTGGTGAACAGAGAACCCTAAACAGAGACGGGGGCGACACAAGTTATCTGGCACGTATGACCCGCTACTACGGTCACGTGTCTCTGACGCCACGTTCCAAATTTGGGAAAGTCCCAATTCTGTATGTATCTAAGTGTTGGAAGTTAAAGCTTAGTCTTTATTTCATACGCCTTTCTTGGTGAATAAGATTTTACAATAGTTGTAGGTTAGTTACAACTCCATCGTCAGATGCATGATCCGCCGCTCTGTGGTACCTGAAAGCAACCCTTTTGTCATTTGCAGTACATGAAAACTTGAAAAATATTAAAAAGTTATTTCTATTTTTGCAGCATTCAGCATTTAGGAAACTCGTGACTTGTTTTAACAGCAGAATGATGAGTTAACAATACATTTCCCTATCTGATAATTCTTTAGAACATCTTTAACTTTACGGATCATCATTTTGCAGTTTTGAGACTAATTGTAAAATTATGAGCTTTACTCAGAATTTCATCACCAAAAGTGGTCGTTTTGTATCTAATTGATCTTTTCGAATTCAATTATTCTACTCGTGTCCTATCAGTAATTCTAAGGGATAGGGGTTGGGAATTGTGCTCGTTGAATTCCACTTACTAAACCCCAATTAGTTTGTTTCGATTTTGTATATTTGTTTTTTTTTCATGTAATCAGTATATCTTTGTTTAATCATTTTGTGTAGATGGCTCCATTAATATAAGTTCCATGGAACTTGAGTGCGATGTCATCTTGTACGTATTTAGGTTTTTGCTGTTTTGATAAAAAAACAATACATTTTGTACTACTTCACATTACAGATTGACGGGATATTGACGGCGATAATTCACATCATAGGACGGATGGAGAGGAACATGGTGGCCTTCATGAGGATGGAGGAATACGCAGAGACACCTGCAGAGGTAAGGTTATGTTTTCTTACTTTATTTACTTTACTTAGGCCATTCGCCCCTCCCAGGGCATAGGCCACCGGTTATGTTCTTCCACTGCACTCGTCTCTGGGCCTTCTTTCTCAGGTCCTGCCAGCTGGTACTGATACTCTCATCTCCTCCTCCGTGTCCCTTCTCCAGCTGTTCTTGGGTCTACCCCTCTTTCTCTTACCCTGTGGATTCCAGGTCAGGGCCTGCTGAGTGATACTAGTGTTGGCCTTCCTCAGCGTGTGTCCTATCGAGGACCATTTTCTCTTTAGAATCTGTTCTCTGATGGGTTGTTGTAGACAAAGGGAAAGCACTCTCTTTGGAAAGAGTGCCACAAAGTGGTAGCTGCTATACTTCACTGTCCGATTTATTCAAGTGTTAATTAGCTTCTTCATTAGTTTATTTTGCTATAATTTTGTTTTTAACTGTATAATGGTTACCTACGTACGATTTGTTTATATTTATTTCTTCATTTGCCTTGATTTTCATTTAAGTATTTCAGTTCAATTATGATTGTTTTGTAGTTCTTTTATACATGTAATCTATTTAATTTGTGGCAGGAAGAACATAAAGAGATACCAATTATGTAAATTATTACCTAATTTGCATAATCAATGTGAAAATTCTGTGACTCATTGGTGAATGATGGGAATTTTATCATAAGGCCAAGAGGTTGTATAAGCCTTTAAGGCTTCATCTCCTCCTGCACAGTGTTTTTAATTTAATTTAATTTACTTCACCTTGTATCTAGTTTTTTTGTGCGAAATAAATAAATGAATGATAAAAAATCAAAATAGATAGTTTGGGTAAGTGGACTAAGTCCAGCTTCTGTTCTGCAGGCTGACTGGATTGTTGAGGACCACAGACCACCCGACCACTGGCCGACTGAAGGGAAGATCAGCCTAAGTTCGTACCAGACTCGCTACCGCGAGGGGCTGGACCTGGTCATCAAGGACATTACAGTCAACATCAACAGTGGCGAAAAGGTATATTCATGTAATTTTTTTGTATATTTGTTTATTGCTATAAGCTAGACCACAATATAATCGACTACAAGTGTACAAAGTTGCCTTCTGACAGTGGTCACCATGCCGAAAATGGGCAAAGATGTCTGTTGCCATGCCGGAACGTGGATGACAGATATATATGAAGAGAGGAGACAAGAAAAAGACTCTGATTTAATGTTTGGTTTCTTACTTTGATGCAGTGATATGTGATGCTGGCTGTCTATATGTGATTTTCCCACTGAATCAAAACCATTTGTACAATGATTGAGTCAAAATTTAAAAATGCAGGAACCTTGTTTTTTTCGGCCCGCTTTGTTTTTTTTTTCGCCCGCTCGCATTAGATATGGAGTCTGCGGAGGATGTCATCCATGAAATTAACAAATTTACTTGCTGTGGCCTAAGTTGTCTAATGAAAAGTGTTTTTTTTTTACAGATAGGGATCGTGGGTAGAACCGGAGCTGGGAAGTCGTCCCTCGTGTTGGCCCTCTTCCGCATCATTGAAGCAGCAGGAGGAGAAATCGTCATCGACGGGGTGAACATTTCTGACATCGGGCTGCACGACCTGCGATCACGCATCACCGTTATTCCACAGGTGAGTTAATATCACTACGGTAATTATGAAGCAAGCTTTAACTGCAATTTCCAACATAAAAAATTCAGTCTCATTTGACAAAATAAGAATCTTGGACTCAGAACCGGACTTCTCTGCACGAGGGATGTAACAGGCCATCTACATCAGGGCATTACAACAACCATCCCTCAACAGAGACGGGGGGCGCCACAGACTTTCTGCAACCTATGATCCACTGCTCACAGAGTCACGTGTGTTATCTGCGTGATTAAACTGAAGCTCATTTCTTGACAAAGACTGGAGTTGTACAGTCTAAAATTTGGGTGAGTCCAATTTGTTGTGTTGGAAATTACAGTTCAAACTTGCTTCATAATGACTTCTACCTACACAGATTAACTTTCAAGATATCACTACGGTAACTTTAGGCCCTGTTCAGACGAAACCGCGCGCTGAAAGCGAATTCGATCCACATTCCACAGAAGCAGGATTAACTCAGAAGTCCTGTCTGTACTGTATACCTTTGCATCTGTTTACCTGTACTGATAATAACTCGATAGGGCATGCATGTACAACAAAGGTTATCTTTATTGACAATCTAGATATGCAAAAAGCGATCACAAAATTAAGAATTTGTTGTCATAAATTAAACATAGAAATGGGTCGATACAAGAAAATACCAAATGCCCAAAGGTTCTGTCCATTTTGTCCAAACATGATCGAAAATGAGCACCATTTTATAATGGATTGTACACTATACAATGATAAGCGCTTATTGCTGTTCACCTTTCTTTCCGCTTGTTCAACCGATTTCAATACGTTAGATCCTATAGAAAAATTCAATTATATTATTGGGGGAGATAACCAATACAGTGATCAAATAGGAAAATACATGACCACATGTTAGAGAATAGTTAAACCTTTATTGTTACCACATACATATACTCTGTACGTAAGATGACGTTATCCACACATGTATTTAGCTTTGTTAGATCTTTAGTTGTAGACCATACAAAAGTCCCTCTACTTTTTTGTTGTGTCAATAAAGAATCTGTTTATTTCTTATAACACTTCACTCATCTATGCTACGCAGGACCCCGTTGTGTTCTCGGGCACACTTCGCGTGAACCTGGACCCGTTTGAGAAGCACACAGACGCGGAGATCTGGCGCGCGCTGGACCTGTCTCATCTCAAGGACTTCGTCACCGGCCTGGACAAACAGCTGGATCATCAAGTCAGCGAGGGGGGAACAAATCTCAGGTCAGTTACAGGACCAAACCATCGTGTGGCGTAGCGGCAGAGTACTCGACTCGGAACCCAGAGGTTCGAGTCCTGACATGCCACCGATCTTGTGCACTTTACACGAAAAGGCACTTTACACGACTTTCCTCACTTCGCTCAGGTATTGTATTGAGCATATATATTGATTGTATGGTACACCAAAATGAGTATTGTTGGTGGCGGCATCAATATAAGTTGAAAATAACTTGAGTGTGCCGTCACCACGTCTTGTGATTACTTGTTGTGATTACATGTTGGGATATACTGTATATATAAAAACATCGTGGGGTCGTGTGGCGCAGTCGGTAGCGCGTCTGGCTCACACCCAAGAGGTTGCGGGTTCGAATCCTGCCCATGTCACCTATCTTGTGCCCTTGGGAAAGGCACTTTACATGACTTGGGTAGAAATGAGTACCTAGCTTCGGTTAGGGACGTCCCTCGGATAGGACGTTAAATGGAGATCCCGTGTTTGGGGAGAGCCACACCCCATGCACGTTAAAAACACACAGAGTACAAATACAGGAGAGGAGAATACTCATTTTCATTTAAGTTGTTGCATTTGTCGCAAAAACTGAATGTATTGCTAAAAGTAAATATTTGCTCCACTGAGAATAGGCTGCGTCAATTCGACCGATGTTTTAACGTGAACTCCCACCTTTTATCATAAAATGATTTGGCCAATATGTCATTACAATATCTAATCTGGACGTTTCTAGGAGTCAATCTGAAACCCTCCTCATGTCAGAAATGCAAACACTCTGTGTGTTTAAGACTGCATTTTCATCACTTTGCAGTTAATATGATTTCTTTGTTAATTTTTGCTTTTTGTACATAAACATTGATATGCAAATTCAGATCCATTATCAATATCATTTACGTTAATTATCATATTTTTTTTAGTTTATTTTCTGTACCTTATTAATTTGTCCTGTTTCTTTTATTATCACGACGATTATGATTGCACCTAAGTTAGTTCTTTTACTTTTTCTGTTATTAAATATTGTTTCTGTGAAATGAAATGCAACGATTTCATTAATCTTGTTTTCCCCCATCTATATTGCACAGTGTTGGGCAGAGACAGTTAGTTTGCCTGGCTCGTGCCTTGTTGAGGAAGTCCAAGCTGCTGGTTCTTGACGAGGCTACTGCGTCTGTGGACCCTGAGACAGACGCCCTGATCCAGGCTACCATCCGGGCACAGTTCGCCGACTGTACAGTGCTGACCATCGCGCACAGGCTCAACACTATCATGGACAGCACCAGGTTTGACAGCTGTTTTATTTTATTCTATACATCTAGACGTTCCATACGTTCCAGTTATGGACATGCTAGGGTCATGAATTTTGGATGGTAGGTAGCTTTTGTTCTCTGGTTGCTTTTTCTAAAACTGCAAGACGGTTTCTTTAAAAATCTTCGAGAGAGGATAACTACAGTGGTACAGTGCTAACCATCGCTCACGGGCTCAACACTATCATGGACAGCACCAGGTTTGACAGCTATTCTATTTTGTGTTGGGCCACACCGAAATTTTGGATGGTAGGTAGCTCTTGTGCTCGGAAAGACGACACGTGAGTTTGGGTCCCCTACAGTAGTAGCTTGTTCTAAAACTGCAATATGGTTTCTTTAAAAATCTTTGAGAATGGATAACTAGAGAAACCGGTTGACTGTACAGTGCTGACCATCGCTCACAGGCTCAACACTATCATGGACAGCAACAGGTTTGACAGCTATTTTATTTTGTGTTAGGCCACACCGACTTAATTTTATGAATGACATCCTCTGAAGACCCCCAAACTAGTCAGCGCGGGCGAGTGAAAAAAAAGTTCCGCCCCCCCCCCCAAAAAATGCTACTAAACCACAGGAATACAAAGCTGGTATTGTGGTAAGTACATAGCGACGTATATTACAAGCCGGTACATGCTGGCTTTTTGCGGAGTCGTGGAGCTTCGGTAGCATGGGTGCCGTCCTCCAGAGTTACCGCCGGATCCGTATTGTCGCTAGCTACTCAGCCTAGAGCCAGTCCAGAGCCTCGGTAGACGTGATTTTTTTAGAACAGGTGAAAATCAATGCGAGGACGGATGTTATCCATAAAATTAAGTCAGTGTGGCCTTACCTTGAGTTATCCTATATGTAATACTCCTGTACTTTAGAACGAGCTAATAGGGAGCCCAAACTCATGCAACTTCTTTCGGACGACAAGGGCTATCTACCCTAGCATGTCCAGATCACAAGATACCAATTTCCCTGCAGCCAACTATAACAAGCCACGAGGGGCCAAAAATTTAAAAAAAAATATTTAAGCCTTCTCGTGTTATCCTGTTCAGTCACACGCACACACACACACACACACACACACACACATACACACACACACACACACACACACACACACACACACACACACACACACACACACACACACACACACACACACACACACACACACACACACACACAGGTGCACACACATACACATACCCACAGACACACACACACAGAGGTGCACACACACACACAAACACACACAAACAAACACATACATATACATACACACAGGCGCACACACACACACACACACTTATGAGAGATCTGTATATTTTGTTTGTTTTGTCTAGTTTGTCTGTTTATTCGTTATTTCTACACTTTATGTTTGTTCTGTGCAGGATCCTGGTGCTTGATGGCGGGAAGGTAGCGGAGTTTGACACGCCAGAGAATCTAATCAGTTCTAAGGGAATCTTCAGTAGTATGGTCCAAGATGCCGGTCTGGCAAAAGCGGAGTGTTAATGTAACAATTACGGAACTAAAAGCAAGGGTGCAACAAACTGCCCCCCTTTAATTGCACTACTTTGTATATGTGGGTTTGTGTGGTTCGTGTGGCGTAACGGCTCGACTCGGAACCAAAAGGTACCAGGTTCGACTCCTTAAATGGCACCGATTTTGTGCCCTTGTGAAAGGCAATTTACATGGCTTTCCTCACTTGACTCAAGTGAAAATGAGTATTGTCCTGTCCTGCATTTGTGCTATGTGCCTATATGTATTATGCCGCCGTTAGTGGCGGCATAAAATAAGTTGAAATAAGTTTGTCGTCACCATGTCTAGTCATAAAATGTAAAAAAAAAAATGTTGCTGTAACAAAAGTTACCTTGAATTTTACCTTGTAGGTACTTGCTACATAAGTGGAAAATACGAAATGTATCAGGAAATATTTACAGGGATGTTTTTGGAGTGTCGTAGATTAGACAACTTCTGGAGTAGGATAGAAAATGAAACACACATTGTTATTAATGATCAAGAAGTATTACTGGTGAGAAGTAGTAGTGCAAATCTCATAACTGTTGCTAGATACGCAATATTTATTTCCTGGTTAGAATGGAAATACGATTATAGAAAGAAAGATGAATGTATTCCTAATTTTTCTGAAATTGTGTCAAACTTATGTTTGATCTCCAGTTACATTGTAATGTATGATATGTATATGATTTAAGGGTTTTGATGTTCATTAGCAAGTACGTATACTCAGAGTATCGTAGATTAGACAACTTCTGGAAAAATGAAACACACATTGTTATTAATGATCATAACTGTTGCTAAATACGCAATATCTATTTCCTGGCTAGAATGTAAAGGAAAGAACAGTTACAGTTACTCAAGCAACTGGATATGATTTTGAAAACGTCAGACGTTTCAGCTAGTATCCACTAGCTTTCGTCAGTGACTGAGAGACCAGAGGGGGAAGCAGGTTTATATACACAACCTGTTGATTGATATGCAAATAAAGTGAAGTCGAAAAAGGAACAAAAGTCAGACAAGTCAAGACAAGATGATGCAAATTAGTCTGAAAGCTCCTGTTATACAGGACAGGAGCTTATTAAGTGTTGTCTGTCCTCGGGGCTGGGAGTGCCAAAAGATGATGTATTCCTAATTTTTCTGAACTTGTGTCAAACTTATGTCTGATCTTCAGTTACATTGTAGGTTCATATATGATATGTATATAATTTAAGGGCTTTGAAGAATAAAATCGTTAAAAAAACGAAAGTTACTATGTCAGTCCGTAGAATCAGACATCCCAACCAGAGCTAGTCTCTTTCGATGTAAATGTTACTGATATGCGACTCATGTCGATGTCAATCATATCTTAAAATGGTAATGATATGCAAATATCACTTATCTGTGACTAAAACTGATACTAGTAGGTCACTGATATATGCGGATGGTTGTGTTACGTAAATATGACCAATAGTAATGATGTAAATTTCATGTTATATGTAAATGCAGTGTTATATAAAGTAAGAAATAACTAAACGGATATATAAATAAGCTGATGTATATGTCACCGACTTAAAAAAGCTTAGAAACACTTTTACCTAATAATGTAGTATTTGGCTAGAAATCTTTTAAAATAAATTTCGTCTCTGGCAGCCAAATGATAGTAATGTGCTGTTCATTTTTTAACTTTCAAATTTTCAACTATTTCATGTTAGTAACTACAGTTATAAAAAGGGTTGCCATGCCAACGGGGTTCGACAAGTAAGTTTTGCAAAATATAGTAAATTCCGTTACAATAAATCTATGATGGAATATTAATGTCTGCTAATACTTACGTTGCCCTTGGCAACAACACTGACGTCAAAATGCCGTCATAAAATGACGTCATGCATAATTAATGTTGGTTGGCCTCAAATGCCCCCCTACCCCACCCCCGCCCCGTCTGAATAGGGTTAAGGCGACTCGAGAAAAAACGAGGCATGTCATATTTTGAAACCTGACCATTTCCAGGTCCAGTCTGGATCCGACAAAAGAGTAGACTAAGTGCAAAACAGCTCATCTCATGCTTTACTTAGTGGTCGTCACGTAACACGGCCGTTAGGCCACTTCAAGGTGAACGGTGATACCACCTAAATGGTATCACCACTCACCTGGGTTACGGGTTACCGAGTAGAACTGTAACAGCAACTCTTCTCCCTGAGTCAGAAACATCATGATTGAGACCAGCCCAATTTCTCACAAGTAGTGAGGACCAACTGACCCAATTGGAGAAGCAGGGGTTACGAGGCCGGTCGGGAAAATTCCCTACCCCATTTTAGACCATAATGGTTTGTTCCACTTCCACTCACGTGGCTTACCTAAACCGTGACATGTGATTGCGACACTTGGCATAGTTTCGGTCCTTGCCCCTGTCCGAGGCCGCAGAAACTGTGGACTTCGCCCGGGTTTATAGGCTCTACTGGGAAATGTTGACCCAACAACGGCTGTGTTAATAGACAGCGCCTGGATTTCGTATTTGTTTACCTTCAAGTCCACTTCCAAAGTACAAAGTAAGTACAAATATTGAATAAGTGTAGGTGTCTGTGTCTACATGCATGTGTATGTGTCCGTGTGTATGCCTATGTATGTATGCCTGTGTGTGTGTGTGTACATGTTTGTAGTTATGTATGTGCGCGCGTTTGTGTGTGTGTGCATGTATGTGCGAGCGTGTGTGTATTTTCTTGTTACTTATCACTTATATCCTTGAACTTATATCTTTGAACCAAAGAAAAATACTGAGTTCATCAAACTCTTTAATGGACGGATAGATTTTCCGGTAAAAACTGTCAACAATCTCAGTATGTGTGCTGTGTGACCATGTACCAGGATTTTTTTTAGGTAATGCTAAATTGTTTCACCACAAAGCTCTTTTCCACGAACATATGGCTGTCAGTCGATGGCGGCATTGACCGTTGGGGTTTTGACATGTTGTCTCACCCGTATCTACCTGTGCTGATGTCACAGCGATCTCGACCCCCAGTGAGCTCGCCCTCCCCGGGGCGAAATCTCTAGAGGTTTTGTCCTACCCGGGTCAAGGTCTCTAGCGATTTCGCCCTCCCCGCTAGTGATTCCCCCTAGCTCGCTCTCCTTTAGCGATTTCACCCCAATAAAAAAATCAGTTATTTCTCGAAAACTTCCATTTAAGCATGCCCATTTACACAGATTTAATACTAGTAAATAATTCTAATGATAGTATTTCGTTGTATTTTTGGAATCATGTTACATGTAAACACCCTCAAAACTATTTTACCAATGATCAGCTCATATCCTGTGTTGTTGAGATGCTGTTGGGCATAGAAATAGAGAATATTTCAACCAAGGAGGTTACTTTCTTGCTTCAACTGAACCCGTGACAATGTCGTTAGAATTGTTAATCAAATTTGTGTACCTGCCATACCTGCGGTACGGTGTAAAAGAGTAGACTAACTAAGGAACGGGAGGGGGGGGGCGAGATCTACGGAGGCGGGGCGAAATCGCTAGCAATCTCACCTCCACTGGAGGGTGAAATCGCTGGGGGACAAGATATCGCTGTGACACCGGAATGTTAACCTGATCTGGCGTTGTTTGTACTCGTCAACGTGGACTCTGCACGGGCGATTAGGCAGTGGCAACATGCTTTCCTGCTTTGTCACTGTTTGAGTGCGCTGCCACTCTCGTCTGCTCTGTTATCAGTTGTATGTTCTTGCCTGAACGAAGTAAGACCACCGTCCATGTTTCTATGAATGTGTGGATGCTTGATTTCCCCTTGTTTCAACCAAGCTTTGTGATAACACCGCGGTTAAATGTTATCTTCAAATATGATGTAAAGATCACGAATTGTTGGTGGACGCAGTAGCCAGTGTGTTGTAGCCAAGTTTTTTTTTTTTTTTTATTCCAACATGTAATCACCAGACGTGGTGACAACTTATATTAATGCCGCCACCAACACAGGGGACAAATACATGACAGGACAATACTCATTTACACCTGAGCTAAGTGAGGAAAGCCGTGTAAAGTGCATTTCCCAAGGGCACAAGATCGGTGGCATGTCAGGACTCGAACTCGGGACTCAAAATTCCGAGTCGCGCACTCTGCCGCTACGCCACACGACCCCACATAGCCAAGTTGCCCCCGACTGTTGGTCGTTTCCGTGTTCCACCGCTCGCCTCCATGAGGCTTTCACTGAATAATCTCCAAAGAGACGTGCAGTAAAATCTCCTCAGGTAAGTTTGCATGTTCTATTCTATTCTATTCTATTCTATTCTATTCTATTCTATTTCATACGGTACTGGGCAAAACCATGACTAGGGCAAATTCCCGCCCAGGGTGCACAGCTATTGCGGCCGGTTGGGTGCGGTGAATAAAAATGTGCATGACAACAAAATAGAACATACGTCGATAAAGGTTAGACATCCAGGTAAGACGATACGCCCAAAAGCAGTTACTCAAGGAGAGGAAACCAGAGGGGAAATGCAGGTTTATAAGCACAGACTATTGTCTTGACTTGTCTGACTTTTGTTCCTTTTTCGACTTCCAGGAATTTGTCTTCACTTTATTTGCATATCAATCAATAGGTTGTGCTTATAACCTGCATTTCCCCTCTGGTCTCTCAGTCACTGACGAAAGCTAGTGGATACTAGCTGAAACGTCTGACGTTTTCAAAATCATATCCAGTTGCTTGAGTAACTGCTTTTTGGAGAACAGAACATAAATTTGTGCGTTTGGTGCATGGGCGCAACGTAGCAATATCCGACTTACATCTGTGAGACGGGGTGGCCCAGGTGCAGGGCCAACCCCGTCTTGAATGTGTTAACAGATTGTTGTGTTACTAGGTGTTCGGGTAGTGCGTTCCACTCTGTGATGGTTCTCGGAAAGTAGCTGGACCTGAATATGTTGGTTTTGCAGCTGAGTGTTATTTATCGGAGGGGGTGGCGCCTTGTAGTGTTTAGCTAATCTCCAAGCAGATCTTTTGGTGGGGCTAAGACAGTATCAAATTGGCCAGTCTGTATCCATTTCCCCACCCAAGTGGGTGTATCCATTTCCCCACCCAGTCTGTATCCATTTCCCACCAAGTGGGGAAATGGATACAGACTGGCCAATTTGATACTGTCTTAGCCCCACCAAAAGATCTGCTTGGAGATTAGTGTTAAATAGCCTTGTTCATGTGAAGTCACCCAAACCGCGATTCGGGTAACTCGCATTCCGCACATCTGGTCCACGTGCCACACATTCCTTTGAAACAGTGTCCGATCACAATTCGCTTGAGCTACATTTATTGTTGTTTGATGAAAACACGCAAGGTAGCGTGTTATTAATGTCAGAGGTCAACGGCCTGCTTGATGATGCCCCCCTCCCAGCGTATCTCGGCCGAATGCCGACGTGGTCCCGCCAGAGGTGGTGAAGCTCGCCCTAGAACGGACACATTATTTGATCATTACTGCTCTTTAAGTTGCTGCCACGTAAAATGTGGTATTGCATATGAATAAAGAAATATCACTCCGTAATCCATGACCAGGCTAAGTCACATTGAAATCACATTGCGTTCAGACGCAAATCGCGATGAGGGAAAACCGACTCGAAACCACCTCTAGAAGTGGTTTGGGATCGAGGCGCTTTCAATGTGATTTGGAGCGTTCAGATGGAGCCACTTGAAACCGGCTTCGGGGTAAACCACATGTAAAGCGCCCTCAGTGACTTCACATGAACACGACCTATGTGATGTAGTCTTGTGTAGGTATGGCTACTACACTGTGTACGGCCTTGTAGAATAAGACCAGGCGTGCCTGTTTTCTTCTCTTCAATGCTGTTTGTACCCGTAATTAGCAATATGCACGATGGTCAGATTTGGGCCCAAAAGTCCCAGTCCGCTACTATGGAGATCGAATCCCCCGAACCCGCGAATCTTGTTCGATATGACGTCATTCGAATAGAGCGGGCGTTCGATCTGGGGTTACCCGCGGTCATTTACAGTAAAGCCGCTACAACCGGCTACTTCAAGCCCTTTTTACTTGGGAACCAAGGAACAGGAAAAATCCACCTTTCCACAAATATGAACCGTTTTCAAACATTACATCTATGCCGTGATTTTATTGTGGATATGTAACATGTAACGAAGCTACTGCCGTCATCGTGGGTGACCTTGAAGGTCAGAATTCTTGTTGACGCTGTTATAAAATCCAGGTCCCCATATCCAAGTGTCATAGCACGCGTGCAAACATGGTATTTTAACCATTCCCAAAAATCGCTCAAATTACCTCATTGAGGTCTTGTTTGGAAGAGCAACGATTTCCGCAGATTTCTGTCTTAGGGATTTTTTAAATATGGCCGCGATTATGAATTATCGGTATTTAAAGTTAAAACACTGCGTTTTTAGCTCTTCTTTTGACTGTAAGTCGAGTTTTAGTTAAAAATAAAAAAATCCTAAGACAGAAAGTTTAAATTTACTGTAATATTTCTAAAAATCCAAAAATCTAACCTTATTTTTAATTTTCGGGGCCTCTTAAAATCAGTTGTTTGGTTCTCGTGAACCCTTTTTGAAATCCGAAATTGATCTCATTTGGAAGCAAATTCACACAAAGTTGAGCAAAGACAGTGGAAGAATAACATTTAAGGTTAACATAATCACTTGTTACATTTTATTTTGACGAGTATTTACTCTCCAATTACTTTTGTTTATTTTCAAATTTTACCCGTTGCCCCCGGGCCGGCCCGGGACTCCCGCGCGGCCACGTTCGAACACGTTCTGTAACCCGATACCTCCCTAGTAATGCGACTTTAGCCTAGCAACCGACCGCCGTGATGAATGAATGAATGACTTTATTTCAACATAAATCTACAGAAACACTAAACATACAACAATTCATACACATTTTTAAAATACGTATTTCTGCACTTTGCTGTAACACTCTTCTCACCTTCCAGACCCGTGAACAGCAGTTATCAGCATGGTGCGCGTGAAGCTTCGACTCATACCGAAGACATTTGTCGTCCTGTGCATCATCACAGGTTCTGTGTATATCATCTGGTTACGGCAAAGCTTGCATCGCTGTCGGTCCTTGATTCAAAAGCATCGGAAGTCTTTAGAAGGTACATAAGCCTACTTGTAGCCTACTCAGGAGGCTCTTAGGTCTGGCCCTTCGGGGTTATAATGTGCTTTTTGTCACATAATCGGCATGCATTATGTCCCTTAAAGTCCGACCTGTAGGGCCTGCTAAGAAGGCTAGTACATACAGTCATTTGAATTGAAATTCGTTTCTACGACCGCTAATCACATACATTGTACCAAGACAAGTACACAAAACCACGCTGTAGTACCGTGGGAAAACGACAGGTGATTTTTATGGCTTCACCACTATGTGTTAACTCCATTAACAGCTGCACATAGCCATACCATATTGGAAGTAGGTACTGCATTGAAGTTTTTTGGTAGGTACATGTTTGTCAAACTTTCCTGCTCAAGCATTGGAATGTGGGGCATTAACGCTTTTTATCTTGCAAATGAACAGTTTGCATTATGCAAATAAAAATCCTAATCAATAGTGTAGGGGACAGCTATCTAACTGTTAGATTCTTAGTTATTTGTCACTTCACACCATATATTATATCGATGTAAAACATTGTTTCCCTTGTATTCTCCTTCTTTTCCTGCCATGTCGTAAAATGTGGTGAAGCCATGCTGAATTTGCTCCAAAGCAAATGTCGGCCTTTCTAGTTTTAAATCTATGTTTACACAACCACTAGTTACCTACACGTACAAATATCTTGAAGATCCATCCACAGCTTCTCAAGTTATACTGTTGACATGACTACAGACACACACCACAGCCACTCCAACATTGCCTAACCGAAAACATTATTACCCTTTTGACAATGGCAATGGTGGCATTAAAATAATTCAAGCGACTCGATAATTCTTCGAAAAGACCGCCATATCAATGACTGAGAACATTTTGATTCATTCAGTCTATAAATGAAAGTCATCTCATTAAAGAAAGTGGAATGCTATTTTAAAACGCTGCTGAATGTTCAGAGAATCTTTCCAGTTCTACAATTCCACTTGCATTACGTAATGCTCCATCTGATTTCTAGTAGGGTTCTTCGACCTTTCTCTAAATGATCGAAAATCATTAAGATAGAGAAATTGCAATTATCGCGTCAAAAGCATCTTAATAGAGACTCGAATTATTTATTCATCTATTCATTTATTTATTTATTCTTCCATTCTTCCATTCACTCATTCACAGTTGTCATCAATCCACATATTTACACATTCGTCATCAACAGTCCCGGAAAATGCAGCGGTTCAGACGTGTTTATGGTCGTCATGGTAACCTCCGCGCCGCATAACCACGCCCAGAGACACGCCATCCGTCACACCTGGGGCAACGAGAGTAACATTCCCGGAACTGGCATTAAAACTGTCTTCGCTGTGGGGACAACAAACGACGCTTCCACACAACAAGGACTACACTACGAAAACAAGATCCACAAAGACATTATCCAGGAGGACTTTCTCGATTCGTATAAGAATCTAACTCTTAAGACTGTCATGTGTCTAAAGTGGGCTTCAGAATTCTGTCCCAATGCCAAGTTCGTTCTAAAAGCTGACGATGACACGTTCGTCAATATATTTAGCTTAGTACGATATCTAAGGGAGTTAGATTCAGCGGCGGCGAAGCGGTTTGTGACAGGGTATGTTTACAGCGGCGCGCGGCCGATTAGAAGGTCCAATAGTCGGTGGTACCTCAGTACGGAAGTCTACCCCAGAAAATCGTTTCCCGAATACCCTGCTGGATTTGCTTACGTCATTTCTAATGACATCACGGGCCTGATCTACAAGGTTTCGATGACCTTGAAGTATATATTTCTCGAAGACGTGTTTTTGGGACTTTGTTTAGAAAGACTAAACGTGAACGTTCTGCACGACAAACGCTTCAACCCTTGGACGGGATCGCCGTCCTGCAAGACCGGTAAAGAACTGGCGTCTCATTGGGTCAAAACCCATGATGCTATGGTTAGGGCGTGGCATAACGTCACTAAATGCTAGGCAACGTAACTGTTGAAACTGAAATGGGATCGCTATTTTTAATACCAAGAAAGATGTGACTGTCTATGTGTAATATTTGAGAACGTGGCCGATGCATATTTTTAAAAATCCATTCATCGTTTTCTTTAACCTCCGTGGACGGAAGTATTGTGTTCGGAATGTTTGTCTTCTAGTGTGTTCCTAGTTATTTAGATACAACAAAGTAACAATGAGCATTGTATCCAGAACCGTGCATATCTAGTTTTATGCCTGATTGTGCTAGCGAGAGGACCAGGCACGGTTTTGTATAGCGTCTCCATATCCAAGAACGTAGATCTGCCTCTTGGCATGGTTCCAGATATGCGTGGACTATCCAGGACCGTGCTTGAGCATGTAACGTATCTCCGGTTTTCATATTCCGTGTTATGTTTTTGGCGACGTCTCAGGGAGGAGCCTAATGGTACAGTATTGTGTGCAGTTTGCAAGAATCCTAGGAATGGTACAGGCATTTTGTCCACAGGAATAGAATGTCCACGGGTATGTCTCTGACCCACATCTATGCCCACATTCCTGGAAACCATTGGGAAGACCTCTCTGCCCCGGATGGCCCTACTTTCTGTGACCCCAGGTCGTTCACTATACACTCAGGGGAGGAGTGCACTGTATCTGTCTAGACTTAACAGGTACAAAGTCTTCCTCAAAATCATACAATGATGGCAGTGCCATGCAAACAATAACCCTAACAGCAACCACCGTCTCCATGGCAATGTATGTTTTCATTGCCAGTCTTGTTAATTTTAGATAGCAGGGTCTCCTAGCTGGAACTGCAAGTGGAGCGTTTCCGCTAAAATAATATGTTAAGAATAATCAGCCAGAGTTGGTTAGAGTTCGTAGGCAAGTCTGTTGCATATTAGGACGGGTAAGGCTTTTACCTTTGACGGCTTACCATGTACGAGTAGTGTTGGTTGACCAGGTGACAATGGTGACAGCGCTAGAATCAATATTGCAAATCCCTGGAATGACACCCTGTACCCACTGGCCCAAAATTTGCGCCCAAATGGAAAAGGCGCTTTAAAGGAATTCACTCGTCTGCAGGTAAAAAAAATGCGTACCTGATTTCTAATAGCACGTTGAATTGAGGTGTTGTGTACGGGAAGAGCCACACGTCCACACTTCGAGCACGTTAAATGAAAAGTTTATTGCAAATTCGTGCCCGGAGGCTAATTGCAAATTACAAAACATAAAAGAACAATAAAACAGAGTATAAAATAACTATAGTCTACATGGTAAAGGTAGCTGTCTAGAACTATAACTATGTCTAAAACTATGTCTGGAGGGTTTGACTTCTCTTCTGTAAGCCATGGAAGACGTAATGCCCCACCTTTTCCAAAATTTGCTTATAATGATCAAGGCTAATATATACATGTAAGATTGGTCTCATCTATGTAAATATGCACTATATAGAGTTCTTTGGTGCAAGTTCATGCCCGAGGGCCAATTGCAAAAACACACATTGACGACAACAATGAGTACAGAATAAAACTGTCTGCTAACACGAAGTTCTACGTATACGATATACTTATTTAAACTACTACTAGTATGTCTACTTAGATCTAATAACGCTGGTAAATACGATAAACAAAACAGTGCCTCTTGTAGAACAGCCGTTCTATGGCATTTCTAGAATGTGTTGTCTCAAGCAATGTTTTAAAGGTTCTAATACTGTAACAAAGTACAGTAGGCGCATCATCACTAGACTGTTAGCTTGAAACAATGTTTAGAGTTGCATAGGTGTAACGAGTCATTCGGTGTAGCTGCCACCACGCCGCGTGCATGCGAAGTTGTGTGTTATACACCGAGGGGCGGTAATACCGGCCGTACAGATACAGATACCCAGACTGGACACTGCACTCAGATACTGTAAGATCTGCAACATACTCAAATAAAAAATATTATAAAATCTTAATCTAGCAGATAACCGTTTATATCATATCGTTCTTAGCTTTAGAAACAGAATCTATCTTAATATACAATATTATATACATCAACTTGATGTAGAAACTGTTACAGTAGTACATGCATAAGGTGTCTATATCCTTGCGATATACCAGATAGCTATCCTGAAGACACGTGGACTACTTCTATGCACAGTCTGATCTATTCTTACACGGCTCCGTGGCATCTTACCTTAAACTAGTGGAAAAGAAAACACCAAATTATGCAAATTAAGATTCTGTAATAAAAGGGGACCAAACATCTACAGAAAGATCCGACAGCCTGGAAAGTCCCATTAGAAGACAAACCTCTTGGATAAAATACAGAAAGAAATGTCTACATTAGGTTAAAAAAAATTAAAATTGAAATTAATACAACGGCCTCTATGTTATATCTGATTTGAAATAGCACGTTTTTCAATGTACAACACCAAAATACTTTGAAACTGACATATTCACTACATAATTAATCATGACTAGCATTAAACACTGATTAATACACTTCAATGGTACTAACTTACAACGAGAAAATGTAACCAGCCGTTCTATATGTACAGGACAATATTCAAACTCTGGATAAAGATTCCTTTTCTATTGTTTATAAATGCCTTCACAAAACAGTACTACATCCTGTAGATAGAACTGACTTCAAATAAGCCATTAGAAATAATGCACAATTTCTTCTGTTGTTGGAGGCATTTCTTCTTCAGCATCACCGGAGATGTCCTCAATTGTACCCGGGGTTTCATTTTTCTGTGCATTCGTTGTCTCTGGCAGCTCGGAGTCGGTGGAACTGTCGTATCCATAATTACTGCACCCGGTGGGATGGAGGATTCCACTTGTAATTAATTGGTCGTGGTCTTTACTTTCCGAGAAGGTATCTTGCTGCGTGGCCTTGCACTTGTTATCTGCTGTATGAGTATCATTGCCAGTGTCCACATCCTTCTCTATTGTCGCGGAACTGGCTGCTGCATTGGAGGACGCGAGTGAGTCGACCTCATCACGATCTTCGCTGTTGTAGACGTCTGCAGTGACGTGGAGTTGCATCCCCATCCGGCCCGACTTTGGGACGTCGTACGAGGTTTCAAGAGCTTCTGCTGCCTCATTCTGACCCCCCACTGGGGAGCCGGAACCGGGTTTGACGTAATCCTTGGCCATCAATTCTACCACAGCGTCCAGCTCATCGTAAAGCTCCTCAAACTCCGGGCGATCGTCTTCCTCCCATTGCCAGCACCGCAGCATCATGTCGTACCTATTGGGTATTTATATGTGTAAGTCATCGGTGATTGACAATGTTATAATTTTGTAAATGGAGTAGACCAAAGACGCAGGGTTGTTATCACCATTTTACATGTCTATCGTCTCTTAGTACACTACTAAACTTTATCTAACTTGTTGTATTTGTACACGTTTCAACATTTGTCTTTGAAATGGTTTTTCTTTAAAATTTGTAAACTCATTATGACCACTGTTATTGATCTTACTCTTACATGTGAAGAGGGACGTTATAAACCATCATGAATTATGAATTATGAATTATGAATTATTCTCAAGAAACAAATGTGAATGAAATAAAAAAACAATATTCTCCTTCACGTACAGTTCTTGTTTGAGGCCAGGCGGTCGTGGTTCGCGGTACCCTGTGCGGAGTTCCTCCAGGAGCGTGCGTTCCCGACCCGGATACGGCACGTTCCCGAGCGTAGCGATCTCGTACAGCACAACACCGAAGGACCAACTGGGCGTGAAAATTAGATTTGATCATGAATTATGCTAAAAAGACGTACCATATCATGATTTGCCTGTAATTATTGAGAAAATCAAAACACGCAAAATGAAGCTAGCTGCACACTGCGTCAGACATCCTCACATTGTAGCATCCAAGCTTGTCCTTTGGGAGCCTACAAAAGGCCAAAGAAGCCGGGGGAGAATATTGGTATAGTAGTAACTACATCGACAACCTCAGATTAGACACCAGCTTGTTCATGCTTTCAAGTCTGTTTTTTTCCAGGCTATAGTTAGTATACGACCCTAAATCTAGGACAAAACCAAAGCAATAACTACTCACACGTCACTCTTGCCTGTGTATCGGCCCTCTCGCATTAGCCTTTCCGGCGCCATCCACCTCAGGGGGATCTTCTGCTCCGCGTCCTGCCGCTGGTAGCCTCGCTCGTAGATGTCTGTTGTCAGGCCGAAGTCTGCGATCTTCACCACCAGGTCCTCTCCTACCAGCACGTTCCGGGCGGCCAGATCACCGTGCACGTAACCAGCCTGGGAAATGTAAGTCTGATTCGAGAGAGCAGAAAACATACAATTCAAAAAGTACAAACGTCATGTGTGAAATGGATGTACATGTATTCTGTCAACAAACATAAACAAATAAAAATGGAAGTTCATCTATGATTGTTACATGTTTAAAGTTAAAACTTGATCCAATTGCAACACAAAGAAATCATCTCAACTAGAGCTTTCGACCAGTCACGCTGGTCTTCCTCAGTAAACATCTAAACGCCATCTCACAACAATTGTAATTGGCATCTATTGCTAACAAACAATGAGGCTAATCTTGCCTATAAAGTGTGCAGTATGGGATGAGAATGTTCATTTGCAGTTCATGATAGAATTCAGAGCATTTAAGCGTATGATATAAGCTCATTCTGTTTACAAGGCTGTGTCTTATAAATACAGTATACATGCGTGTGTTCTCAGTGTTAATATTGTGTGTGGACTGTCTGCTTACCATTCCGTTTGCTATCTGCCGTGCTACCTGGTACATCTTCATGTCGTCAAAGTCATACAAGCTGTCTTGGAGCCTCTCATTCAACTGTAGATTTGCATAAAAAGAGTCAGCATGAATATAACTTGGCTTCATCATAAGGTATTATAATGGCTGACATAACACACCCACCAAGGGGACATTTAATTTTCAGACACTAACTTTTGGTAACTGCGAAATCGCAAATGATTGCTTGATGGGTTGCATAGCAAGCAAAACAATGAAATACATTAAGTAAAATGGGCCAACAGTTTCTAGATCTATCGAGCCATACACACAAGTTGAAATGTTGAAATGGGTGGCTGAAAACAACAAATTTGGCATATAACTTTACAAGTAGTTTCTTTAAACTTCAGTTACACATCATTATGGTTATTCATCAAACAAAATAGAGAGAGCAGCTTTTTGATAGTTTAACCATTACTGGCAGAATAAGAACACATTTAAAGATATCTACCTTAAAGTTACGTATACATGTACCTTCCTGCACTTGAGTAGGAAGTTCTTGAGGTCTCCATACGGCATGTACTCCGTCACCAGGTAGGGAGGGTAGGACAG